CTGCCTAGAGTGCGTAGGCAGCGTCACGCAGAATGTGCATCTGTAGGTACAATGTGATGTCCCCAATGCGAACCGGACGTTTGGGCTAGTCCAAGCGACGGTGTGATGTTCCCATTGGGCAGATTGCATTTGTAGAACGATTCGAGGGGTCATACGCAAGTCCCAAACTCGTGACAGGTTGCATGGGACATCGAAATAATCGGAGAACCACTGTCGACGATGCATTCCACATTGTTGCTGGTTGTCAATCACTGGGAGGATCGAGCGGGATGGCCAGGGACTCGGCAGCCACAACTAGATTGTCTGGCAACCTTCCAGTCTGATCGTAGTAGACGGCGAATTTATCTGGGACCCACCAAGCGTCTGGAGGGAAAGTCTGGCTGTAGGCGACTGGAAAATGCTCCGCAGCCAAAGCAAGGCGTGCATCTTCGTTTCGTTGCTGCTGAAGCACTTTTTCGACCAAATCTGAGTCGTCCTGAGCATATGGAAGGTCGTAGGGGTGCTATCAGTGACAGGATGCAGGAATTGAGGCACTGCCTCGCCAGTCTTGGCAGGGGGACGACGGAAAATAGTGGCTTCGCGGAATTGAGCACGGACTTCTGGGGCAATCGACAGGGTCTGGCGAAGCGTTCTGGGGACAGGGATGTCCAAAATGGCGGTCAAAAACAGCTGCAGCATCTTTGGGGTTGTAGATCGGAGCCGAGAGCGTGGGGGTTGTGATTTCTGCGCTGGAATCCCAACATTTCGTTCTTGGGCGGTGCGTAAGCGCCATCACGAGCTGCGGCGTACGGATGGATTGGGGGTTTGAGGCGGGGCAACTGGAGCAGGGGCGGTCGCAGGAGGGACGGTTTCGATTGGAACAGGTGGAAACGACTGGATTTCGCGCTACCGCCGGTGGAATAGTGCGTTCAGGGACTTCTGGTTGATTAGCAACTTCCATAGCGCGTTAGCTTGGGCCCGTGTGCGTAGTTGATTAATTTCAGCCGTCAGAACTGCCATTCGTTTTTCGTCCGTGAGTTTGAACGTTTGAACGAGCCCAGGCGCCGCAGAGACAGCAAATTCTGGTGAGAAGAAAATTCCAAAATCATCTGCGGAGCTGCTGCCTGACCTGGGGTCGCTTCATGCCACTTTCTGAATGCGCTCTCGAAGATCCTTTCCTTGGACAATATTTGGCACATATGCGCCTGAGGGGAGGACGACTTTCCCATCCACATTGCGGCGGCATTTTCCGTCTCGAATATCCGTCGAAACGTGGGGACATGGGCTGATAAAATGCTCGAGATCACTGCAATAACTGCAGCCATCAGGACGGCGACGGCGGGGCAGGGGTTGGCGGACTGTGATTGTGCTGGGGCACCAGGATTGGCGTGTTGAGCAGCGATTATTCGAACTAGATCTGAGACAGATGAAACTAGTGCAGTAATTCCAGGGTCTGATTTGATTGTGAGCTTGGTTCCGGGCTGAGACGTGGGCATTCCAGGAAGTAAGGTCGATGATCCTGAAAGGACGAATTTAGCAGCGTCTCGTACAGATGACAAATAATGGATCCTCAGGGTGAACGTCTGGCTTCTTGATCTGAAGTCTCTGGGCGAACTGAGACGGACAACGAGGCTGGATTAATAGCTCGAAGGAAAAATCGGCCTGTTCTGCCACAGAGAGTCGTTGTTTGCTAATCAGGAATGTTGTGATGTGTAGGAATCGTCGATAAAATTGTGTGAGGTCGTCCTTTGTGGGATTCCCATGCGGAGATGTCTGCCAACGAGCATGTCCAAATCGTCGAGGCTGAAACGACGATCTGTGTCGTTCCCTGCGTAGAGGCTGAGGGCGTCCAATTTGAGTTTAAGTCGTGGTACGATTTGTTGGCGTCTGAGAATGACGGTAGACCTTCCCAAATCTCCTGATCTTCGACGGAAAGGAATCTGACCGCATGCCCCTTCATTTGGGCAGCGTCAGTGACGGCAGATCGAGCTAGAAGAATCCAGATCGAGGAAATAACGGCGCAACTCGTGGGGCTTGGACGAATCAAAGACTGGGGCGTTTCGATCGCCTCTGGCTGGCATGGAGTGGGAGTAGCCATATTTTGAGAAGGAATATTTGTGTTGTGAAGTGGGGATGGTGAACGCGTGTTGGAGGCGAATCAAAGAGCCAGGATAGCGTTGGAGAGCTCGGGGAATGCGGTGAGAGGTTGTTGTGTTGTGCAAGGGCGCTGGGGACAATGTCAAAAAGGTGTTCGTCGTCGAAAGAGAGAGTTGTGGGGTCGTTGAGAGCAACAGCTAGCTCTTCACGGAGCGTGCGACGTAGCTCAGAATGATTGTTGTGTCGCAGACTGCGAGAGGCACCAGAATCTATGTTGAATCCCCTCGCGGTGGGCTCCAAAATGACGTGCCTGCGGACGGAATAGGTGCGAGCTAACACAAAATGGGGGTCAGCTACGACCTAAAACAGTGCAGGAATAAGTGTGATGTGCGAGGAGGTCCACAAGATTCAGTGCCGTGGCAGGCAGTAAGAAATGATGATTTTAGACGTGGGACGAAGTCGAGGGCGGCGTGGGACGGATGCGACGAAGCAGAGGGTCGAAATACCCAAGTAGAAACGAGCTGAAGACGAGAACTGAACTCAAGACTATGAGGAGAATAAATCTATTTTTCTTTTGTCCAACTACAAGCTTTTGTATGTGAGACAATGATAATCATCAGAGTGGGTGAAATATCGACAGGATGGGCAAGGACGGTGAACAGAGGAACCAGGGAAGTGAGAGGGGAACAAAAAAACAGGTAAAAGTGGATGGTGAAGTAAGAAAGGCAGGGTGTAGAGATAAATGTGCAGACAGCAGTCCAGGGATGTGAATATCAAAAATATATGCAGGGCTGGACGAACCAGTGAATAGCCAGGGCTGAGGAATATTGAGGAGACCTCAGTTGTGTGCGAAGCGTGCGCCCACTGATTGCTGATTGACATGCACTGCCACAGCAGGACTTGTCGGATAGATAGGCCAGTCCGTCAACGTCGAGGACGAGGGCTCCGTCGCCGCGGGTGAGGACTGCCATGGAGGTGGATGAGCAGTAGTTCAGCTCGTTCCACCGCCGTGAACGTCGCGGTCCCGAATTTTTATTTATTATCTTGCACATATCGTCGTCGTCGTAGATCAATCCAAATCACATCTTGCTGCCTGAGTCGTCGTCGCGTGAACCTTTGAGTCCAAAATTTTCAAAAATTCTTGAAGAATTTTCTTGAAACATTTTTGAAAAAGTCCGGACCCCGTCCTCAGTAGATCATTGGATTTTCCACTTTCCAGCACATGGGTCCAAGGGGGTGCACGTTGTCGCGCACCTCAATTTCCAATGTGGGCTTCTGCGGACTCTGTGGCTGATCTTTCGTAAGATCTGCCCTCTCCAGGAACACAGATCTAAGCCGTCCTCGGCTTATCTGATGCGCGACTAGAAAGTTTTTCCAGAGTCGACGATATAAAGTCTGGGTGGGCTCGACAGATTATGTCCAGTCCCATTCTCAGTCTTATTTCGTTCCCATTCTTTCTCTCTACCCAGGCCTCGCTATGTCCGCATTTCCTCTCCCCCAAGACTTCGCATCGCTCGTCGCGTCGTGGAAGAAGGCTAAGCCTTCTCTCGCAGCGATGAACAAGCTGGGTCTAGGTGGTTCAGAGGCATCCTCAGCGTTGGCAAGGATATTTTCTTTGTTCGAGTGAGCTGATTCGTGATGGCGTGTCGCGGCGATTATCTTATCGTCGACAGACCCGCTTTCAAGCCAGCTCGTTTGCTGCTCAAAGATCCTCCCCGCGACGTTTTGGATTGTCTCGAGGAGGCCACCACGCTCGCTCTGTCTCAGACGGAACTGCTCAAGGAAGTTCCAGAGAAGCAGCGCGACGCCTCTCAGACTAAGGCCGTCAACAAGTATCGAGCCTATCTGATTTGGCATGAGTCCCTTGTCGCGGCGATCATCAGCCTGCGACAGGCTCAGGAGAGCATCCCACGTCCTGCTGCGACTCCGTCGTCGTCTGGGAAGGCCAAGGTATGATTCCTGTCTTTGTCCAGATTTTCTTACGGATATTGTTGCACAGGCCGAAGACCCTGTTCCTGAGGCTTCAGGCCCAACTCCTGCTATCGACATTGATTCAGACGTCGAGATGGAGGCCCCCACTCCTGTTCAAGAGAAGGTGCGTCCGTCTCGAGCCTTTGCCGAGCACAGGTTGATTCTTCACAGACCCCGCGACCATCTACTCGCAAGACCGTCGCAGGACGGTCCGGTTCTCGATCGGTCGACGGATCTGGTCATGACGACTCCGTAGGGCTCGCGGACGTCTATGGGACTATCATTCGACTCATAGACGAGCACGATAGGTCGATGCGTCTTCTCAGCGCCAAAATGTCGAAACTTCACGCGGAGCAGATGGAGGCTCTAGGGAGCTGTCTCCAGAGTTTCCAGACGTGAGTTTCACTCAGTCGCGGCGACTACATTTCTGACCAATACCCAGCCATCGTTCGTTGTCACCGGCTCGAAGAGGCAGCGACTCAGCAACAGTACCACTGATGCGGCCCGGGTGAGTCTCGCAGTTGTATCTCGTGTCGCGACACTTCGCTAACCGATTGGCAGCGTCCGCGTCCGACCGAAGGTTATTGCGGACCGAGTGCATCGACATCAATTGTACCGGTTGCGGCGGTCCATTCCACTCGAGCTCCTCATCGAGGAACGCGACTACGTCACGTCGCGGCTAGAGGAATGGAAGACCGCGCTCAAGGACGTCAAGGAAGCCATTGACCTCTCGATGTCAAAGAATGCGGCCTAATCTTTCCTATTTTGTTCTATCTGCACTCTCCTTCCATATGTCTCTTCTCTCTTGTCATTTATTTATGAAGTCGCGTCTCTTCTTCTCGCGCACCTCCTTTATGACCTTTTTCTTTTAGATACACCCAGTATAGTCCTTAGGTACCAGCTAGCACCCAAGCAATATACTGAATTCTGTCTAAAACTGAGAGAAGCGACGTCTTGTCGTGCGAGAGCCTACCGCGACAATTGCTTGTCTGCCAGACTTTCACTCGACAGAAGCTGGATCCTCTACAGGGTCGTCGTCGTCGTCACTGTCCGAGTTCTTGAGTTTCACGCCTTCGAACTGGTAGTCGCGGACGTCAGATATTTCCTCTACCAACTCATCGAGTTTAGCAGGCGAAATGTCTATCAGCTTCTTTATATCTTCAGAGAGTGTCAACTTCTGTCTTGCCAAATAGGGTATTACTCGGAACGCCGCGACTTTCGCATGGAACATCGCACCGTTCATTTCACAGACCAAGTAAGAACCCCTTTGGTCTTTCGAACTACAATCATGGGACCAAGATATCTAGCTTTCATCTTGTTGTCCAATGATTTTTTCAATAGCTGTGTTCCTGACCAACACTAAGTCCCCTGGCACAAACTTGTAATCTTTGATCACATGTTTGTACTCGAGCTCGTAGCGTTGAACCATCTTTAATTTGGCGTCGCTGACGCGGCTGCGCATATCTTCTATATGGTCGGCGTGTTTCGCTAGAGCGCGTGCTCTGAGACCAATGAGATCCGCAGAGTCGACGATCCGGTCAGGATATTCGACTAACCACGTAGCTTCGACTATATCCAGAGGATGGTAGGGTGGGCCCCACATACTGCGAAGTATGGTGAACAACCCAGCCCGCGACGCACTGTAATTCTATCTGCCCACAAGACCTGTGGGAAGAACCAAAACCATTTGGAGGCGTTTCCCCCAGTAGCTTTGTACAGTGACTGTCGAATGTCCCAGTGACCTCTTTCAACAGTGCCATTCGCTTGGAATTGTAAGGAGATATCCTTATTCCCTTGATACCATATTTCTTCTGCAGCCAATTCAACGCCGCGACAATTGTCCTGCGTTGTCGGTTACAATCCACTTAGGACACCCCCAGCGACACACTATGTCCTCGAGCAAGAAACGCGCGATTGCCTTGGCGTTGTCAGCCTGCAGCGGTCGCGCTTCCACGTAGCGGGTCAAAGAATCCCTTGCTGCGACGACATATCTGTATCCGTTGGAAGGTGTTCCCATAATCATGACGTCTGTGTGTATTTCTGAAATACACTTGGAGTCATTGTCGGCGTCGGTGGAGTACAGAGGAGAGTTTTCTGGCGGACTTGGCAGCTATGACAAGTCTTTATCCACCAGTCGACGTCTCTTTCCATCTCAGGCCACCAAAACCGAGTTTCCAACAGGCTCTTAGTGCTGAAAAGACCCTTATGACCCAGCGCGTCGTGACACGCCTTCATCATATAAGTCCTGTGGTGCTTGTCCACGACCAGTCTATGAACCCCGTTGGTCGATCTCTTGTACATTTTTCCATTTTTGAGGAAAAACTGTCGCGAGAATTTGAGAAACGATCTGAACCGTTTATCTGTCATTTCAGGCCTTATAGAAGTGTCTTTCAACCACTTCCTAGCCATTACCAACTTATTGTCCTGTTCAATCCCTGTGCCCGTCCGGTGATCCTCAATATAGGGATCCTCAGGATTGTCGCGCAGTTCAAGATCAGGCAAAAGCGGTTCTCCGTTTGCCACATCGTTCAGCATGAAGACTGGAACGACGAGTCCTTGAGCGTCATATGCGTCTTTGACACGCCGATTCTCAGCGCGACGAGAGTCGCAAGCTTCGACTAGCTCTTTGGATATGTCGTCGACCGACTCAGCACACCCGACCATAGAGTTAAGGTAGCCACCTCTGGTGTCAATGTCCCTTTTGAACTCTTCAAAGTCTAATGGTTGTTCTGTGTCGTAATCCCAATTCTCGTTGTTCTCTGGTGGTGGCTCGTCGAAGATTTCCTCTTCGTCATTGGGATACTCTTCGTCTCCAGGCGCAGGTCGTCGTCGCGACAAGCCATCTGGTGAGAAGGTGATTCCTCTGACATGTTTCAAGGTAAACTGAAACATGAGGATCTCCTCAGCCCAACGGTTGATATTTGCATTTGGCAGGTTACCAACGTTCCTTAGCATGCCTGCCAAGTACAGCGCGTCGGTTTCGACTACCAATTTTCTACAACCAAGGAGCCAGTGAGCCATGGCTTGAAGCACGCGCTTCACACCATAAAGTTCACGCTTCGGTTGAGAAAACCTAGCTTCTCTTTCTGTAAGCGGGATACTCCCAAATTTCGCGTAATAGACCTTCTTTGGATCATCTGGGTCGCGCTGGTAAATTTCGAAACCCGCGGCCATCCAGGATGTGTCTATTGCGACGACAATCTCAGAGTCCCACTCGTAGTTCAGAGGCTTAAGCAACGGACAGACTTGTATCGCGTCTTTAAGTCTTTGAAATGCGAGTTTCTGTTTGTCACCCCATTCAAAATGCGCATTCTTGTTCACCAGTCTCTGAATTGGTCGCGCCATTTCAGAAAATCCTCTAATGAACATTCGCATGACCCCAATCGTGCCCATAAATTGTCGAACCTCCGAGACGTCCCTCAAGTCTGGCCAACGCATGATTACACCAACTCTGTCCGCGTCAGGTTTTCTACCTTCAAACGAACAGATGTGGCCAACCACAGCGAACTCGTCGGCGCAAACCACCGACTTGGTACCAGACAGAGTCGCGCCACAGTAGCCGATTCTGTGCACGACGCGGTTCACATTCTGAAAGTGTTCCCATACGAAGCGACGGATCCCAGGATTTTCCGGAATCGTTTCACAGGTTCCATCGGGTAACAGATACCTGGTTCCAGGTCCTCGAACGGGTACGTCGTCGATGTATGGAATAGTAACATGAGGGATTTCGTCTTTCAAAATGAAAGTAACGTCTTCATGGAATATTGGTACTGAGTTGGTCCATCCTTGTGGGAGCTTGACCAACCTCAGTGCACCGAACGGTGACTGGAATGTAGTCAAGTCGCGACTAGCTGGATCGATGTCACGCTGGTCGTAGCCTGAGTACAAATCTAGCGCAGCACCACAGGCGCGACCGGCGAAGTGGTTTGCTAATTCCTCTGTCGCGGGTGGCAACCCTGAATGTGCGATAGTAATTGCATTGAGTGGTTCTAGCGAGTGC